GGCTTCGTTTTCTATCACCTCCCTCATACGATCGTGATCTGCAGCCAATTCTTCAGTAATAGTTGTGTTAAAGTAGTAGATGCCTGCCTGCATGTATCTCTTATTATCTTATATAGTTCTAGAAAACACACTCGCTAACCATATGAGACATCACCCATTCGATCGTGATATTTTCTTTGTTATTCTTTGCAAAACCTGGCCAATGCTTTGAAACAAGATCGTCATAGCTAAGTCTTCCCCTATCGGCTAGCAGTGCAATACAAACGGCCGCCACAGCTTTAGTCGTTGAGAATACGACACTTATCGTATCCTGCAAGTTGAAGTGGATATTCCCTCCACTAAAGAAATACGGTTACATGAAAATTAGGCTGCACTACCTTTCTCCATTTTCTTGCGGCCTGCGTATCTGCAAAACCTCCCCATAGATCGACAACTTTTCGCCCTTTAACGAAAACTGCTACGGAAGCTCCTTCCGCTTCCCACTCATCGATGAAATTTTGCCTTAATATAAATCCATTTGATTTTTAGTGAAAATGTTGGATGGAAGATTTCCAAAACTCACTCGAAAGCTTTTCGCACGCCTTCGAACTTGCTATCTACCTCTCCTTCAATATGAAGTGGATGCTTTGTTTGAAAAATGTCGGTGCCATAACGAAAAAACATCGCTACAATGCCCAGAAATGCTGCATATCGTAGTAGACCCATCTACAAGCGGAGCAATTTCTTTAAATGATTCAGAAATTACCAGAATCAGCACGAAGAGAATGGATGTTCTATGACTGCTTCATTAATTCGCATTTTCACACTTAGAGGTTTAAAAATGGAACTATTTTATGAAGTTCCAGTCTCGAAATTCTGCTCATCTTAATCATTAACAAATCATTTATTAGCAAATTCTCTAGTGCTCAATCTAAAGGACCAGATCTTAAACTTCTTACTATTAGCTAATTTCATATCTTTGAGCTTTTGTAGGATCACCGAATAAGAAGCTGTAGCCTTCAGGACTAAAGCGCGATAAGTTCTTGAGCAGACAGTGCAAGAGCTACTAAGAATTTACACCGTAATAATGCTATAACAGCCAAAGGTATCAGAGGAATGCAAGTTGAACCTATCATGTTGAACTTTTAAGGCCTAGAAGAATTATGGGAAATGAAATGAAAATGAATAGATCATATTTTATGGAAGACCGTCTTATTTGTGATGCACCTCTAGATGGTACAATAAATGGTTAACGTTGCCCCAAAATCGTTATGGGAAGAGCATGCTTTTGATTTTTTTTCTCGTGACAAATCATTTCTAGGAATAGCTCGGTGTTGTACCAATATGAGGATGCCAACGTGG